GACGGAACTAAAGAAAAATAGGACCAATTTAAAAACAAGGTAGTAATTTACAAGTAATAAAAACAAAAAAAAAAAAAAAAAAAAGTGCTGTTATAACGGATGTTAACTAAACTATTTTTTTCCCTTTTTACAAACAAAGCTGTTGAATTAAACAAAAAAAAAAAGAATATAAAAAAAAAAGAATATGGTGTGGAATTCAGCACAGAAGCTAAATAACCAATTGATGATTTCAAAAGGAAAGGGTGAAAAAAATACACACATTATTTTGCACAGCATTTCGATTTTCATCGCGGTTTTTCCGTCGTTGTAATTCTCGAAGTTCTCGTGCTTCCTGCTCACTGAGCGTAATATAATCATTGAATTGATTATCTAATGTAACAATGAAAGTTGGATGGTCCAAAATAAAACGATTTCGTGTGTTATCCAGAATCGTCTTTGACAAATCTATTACATAATAACTGAAAAACATAAAATTATTTATCAGTTTGCTCGACAAAAAATAGGCTGCAAAGATTGATTTCTCCTGAAGTAAAATTCACTTCTGAATGCAATTTGCAGGAAATCCAAAAAATTTGACATGAAATTCAAACGATTTTTTTAGATCAAAAAAAGTGGGGGAATTCTCATACTCCTATCCAGCCAACGTTTCTATCAGATAAAGGCCAACATACTGTAATCAGAACGGTCAAGAATAGTGCTATTGTTTTTCATAGACAATTAATGGGCCGAAAAATTCAAATCATCGGTTATATTAACTACTCGCATTATTAGGATATTTCATAAGTCAACATTATAAAGTGCAAAAGCAAAGAGAACAGACTGTTCAAAACCAGCATTAGATTTAAAAGAAGAATTAAATTCTGAAAGAATACCACTATAGGTTTGATAGATTGCCGTAGAAAAATTGTTACGGATGTGCTTTCCGGAATATCATTTACTTATATAATATTCTTATATAATAATGTACCGTTGTTTTCCTTCAATAGGCACAGGCATATAAACCATCAACTTATCCATACCAGCTTCTTGGAAAGGTGTCATCTTCTCAGCATCAAGGTCTGACTTACTAACAACAGGTCCAATCTGCAAAATCATTTCATCAAAACTTTCCGTCCCATAAAAACTGGGAGATATAGCATAGTTATACTGCTCCTTATAAGCCGCACCGAATGTTTCTCTTCCAAAAATAGTTTAAAACTAAATCAAAGAACTGAAAAAGATCTGAATCAAAAAAAACCAGGACAGAAACAACCGAAATCGGTTATAAAGTGTAAAAGCAAAGAGAATTATCAGATTGTTCAAAATCAGTATTCCGATTTAAAATATCATAGAGATTAAATTTTGCAAAGATACTATTTTAGGTTTGATGAATTGTCGTAGAAGCGTTGTTACGGATATACTTTCCGGAATATTATTTACTGTATATCCGTCCTCAACAATTTGTCGTCCACCTTCAATCTGCTCTTCTCGACGAAAAATCATTCTTATTGTCCAAAATACAGTATCCGAAAACTGTTCATGGCGAGAACTGTTACCCTCTGAAATTTCATTGACTAAAATCTTTTGCAAATGAATTTTGTAGAAATATAATTTTAAAAATAATAAAAACAAAACCATTTTTACACAACATATAGCAGAGGACTCAAAAAAACTGACTGCATGAAATAACACAGCAAACAAGGAAAAAAAAATCACTGGAATTAAGAGATGAAAAGAAACCTTTATCAGGAGTGATGGTAAGCCAAATGCGTCTTCGATGAGCATTGTTGAGTAAGTAACGTTTCGTAGCCATAGTCTTCCGTTCCATATGCTCCCATCTTAGCTCTTTTCCACCACCCACCTACAATTAAAAAGAGTAAAATGTAGTACTGATGTAACAAATGCTTTGGAACAATTGCTCTTTTTTTTCCTCGTTCTTTTTCTTCTGAGAGGGAGAGAAATGAGTGAAAAAGGCAAAGAGGTTGAGAGAGGCATAAATGACAATTTCTTAAGATCGGTAATGAAAGCATTGAAAATAAACAATTTAATATATAAAAACCATTATGAAGGAATTCTTAGCTACAAAGTAACTAAGAATTCTTACACTATTTTAAACATACAAAAAAAAGTACTTGTGATGATGTCGTCACTTCTTTTTCATTGTTGATTTCATCCAATAGACTACTACTGCCATTATCTTCTAATCCATTTGCGCAATGTTCATCATGATGAGTTTCAATGATCCCTTCTGTTGCAATATCACGAATGACTTCAAGCTTATTCTCATTTTCTTTTGACTCTTGTACAGAATGAGGAATATTTGCATGAGTTATTCCTGTCAAAGATTCCGTAGCATTACTCAATGATTTTGTGATAGTACTGAGGAATTTTTCGTCATCAACAGCTACCGACGATGAATAATCAACAAGCCTTTTGATAACATCAAATGATTTGTCACGCTCACCAGAACACTATAATATGAAAATAATTTTCGCGTCATTTGCATATAAACGAAATCCTTCTTTCATCAAAATAATTACCAAAAAAGAAAGGGAAGTATTTCAAAATGAATAAAAATAAATGTTCTGTCGTTTAATGATAGATATTTTTTTCAACTGATAACGAAAAAAAGAAAAAAAGAAGGAAACTTAAAAAGGAATTCTCCTTTATCAACTAATACCAGAAGAAAAAAAAGAAGAACCAGGTTTGAAATAATGATGAAACTTAAAAACTTACATCATATTTCACTTTATGTTCTTTGGAACATAACAATGAACAAGTACGAAATGAGCATCGTGGACAACGATATTTCCATGAATCATTATGACACATATCACATAATCGAATGGGTTGTGGTATTGGTGTTGTTGTATTTTCAATATATGCTTCATCAATTGATGATGGATATTTCTCAGCTATTTCATCCATAATTCGTATATCTGAAATATTTTTATTATTAGTATCAAACCAATTTTTGAAAAAAAATAACGGTATTACATTTTGATACACTTTTAATTGAAAGTTTTGATAATTAGCAACTTAAACTACTCATGATTTTACAGAAAGTACTTTAAATTGCAATAGATTTCAACTAATTTCAAAATTAACTAACTGAAAATTTAAAATGTGCATAGAGAAGATTAAAAAAAAGAGTGCAAAGGCGCAAAGGAAAAATTAAAAATTCGATAAAAGGATGCACAAAAGGGATAAAGAATACAAGTTAGGTTTACAAGGAAAGATAGAACTGGATAATATATAATGAATGCTATAGTTTAAACTCTTTCTTCCTTCACATTACCATCACCTACCTTTCCCGGCATTTCCTGATATCATTACCATCCCCTAATCACTAAATATTCATTTACTACCCTACCGCCGTGTAACAATAATTAACGATCGGTTGGGAGATAAATTGCGAAAGTAGCATTTATTATCTTATATCAGTTCATTGCTTTGTTCGCGTTTTCTTTCCTACTGTATTTCCTTCGCGCGTACAGAGGTTTATTTATCGTAGTAACTTGTATACTTAATGTGAAACTTAAGAGGTAACTTAAAAAGTAACTTAGTTCGAAAGTAACTTAAATACTTAATTTGATTATTTAAGTAGGCAAACAATAATTAGTCATGTAGGAAATTACAACTTTCAGTAATTGAACAATCCAGATAATGTCTGTATTTCTTTCACATTTAATATAACCCTAAACATCTAATTCAAATTAATTCTAAATATTTATATTTTAGCTTATTAAACTGCATGGAATACGTTTTAATTGCTAATTTTTACGTCTCCAAATATGAGTTTAGTAATTGAGTAATATGTATAAATACACTGTTTTATATGATTTGAATACTTAATAACTGAGATACTTAATTCGAACTTTCTATGTTTTTCTTTGCAATAAATTTCATGCAAATTTTGATTAAATATTGGCTTATATTTATCTTGATGATAAAATTTCAGATGGTTCAATTTCTTTCCCTTTCCTTTTGCATATTTGTCCTTTTTTCTACGAGCAGTGGAAAATTATGTGAATTTGAAAAGATTATATTACTTCATTATGCTATCATTTATCATGATAATGGCTTATCAACCAAATGATTATTGATTTGTCAGGAATTATTTATTAATAAAAGGAAATCAAAAATTATTTATTAAATAGTTCCTTATGGTTTCATTATAATGTACATCCATGGAAATCAAAAGAGATTTTAATCGCTGTGTTTTTATTACAATAATAACCAGATATGGATTATAATTATTTGGAAAATGTTGAAAAATGTCATCGGAAAATTGGAAATATCATTTCGTTTGATGTTTTTAACTTTTCACTAGTAATCTTTCCTGACATCCGGTTTTATGATGTCATTTCTGGAAATGGTACATCCGTAATTGGTGAATTCTTGCCTGATATTTTCCCCCTTTATACACTAACATCATAACAGCAGCTAAATGTCTTCGGAACAACTTTTGTTTCGGGATTTCGCAAGTTGTCACTAAACCTAAACTTTTAGGGTTAATTGGGAACGGATCGTAGGAGAGATATTTGCTGATTGCCGGTTTTATTCTATGTTGCTACTTCATCTTCCATTTTTCCGGTCACCGGATCTTTCATTTCCTTACCATGAAATGGATGGATCTTTTTTTTTCTATCACTTAACAAACCGTAAAAAGATATTTTCATTAGTAACATAACGGTTTTATTTTGTAATTGTTCTAAGCTAAAAGTCATTATCACATATATTTCGCCATGAATTCTCGGGAATTCCGTCATTTATTGAGATATCAGGTGTAACTATTGCTTCTTCTTTTAGCCTCTAAAAATTCTTGAAATTTCTTTTTATTTCTATTATTTCACAGTAATTTGTGATTATTCTTTTTTTCCAACATAAGATTATCTTTCAAAACTTTCGTCGTTTTTTTTTTGTTTGAAAATTTTGGAACATTTTAAATTTTATTTCTCTTTCATAATTTAATTTCATCCTTCATTATCAGTTCCATTCTTTTGGTTTCATTTTATTTTATTCCAACTTTTATCACAATTACGCGAGAATATTTGTATTTGTAGTTTAAATTGTGCAATTTTTCCATGTGTTATTGCAAGGATGACATCGCTTTGTGGTTTTATTTTCCATTCCTCATTGTTGTCATTTTATAACTTTTAAAACTTTTTGTCAGTTCATGATTTTTCAAATCTTCCTTAGCATATGGTTTTTAAATTTGCTGATGTTTTGAATTTTTTTTCCTTTGATATCACTTTATGTATAACATTCAGTTCGATTATATTACATTTAATCTATTTGATCGCTTTCTTCAACATTTCCTTTTTTTTCTTTCTTTTGCGATTGGTATTTACAATTATTAATGCTACTATTTCTGCATTTTACGTTTTCAATCACCTAAATTACCGTTTTTTTTGCATTATTCACATCAATTTTTTTTCTCATTTCTTTTCAACTATATATATTATCTCTCATTTTTAACATATTCTTTTGATGATGTTTTCATATTATTAATTAAATTTACATTTGTTATTTTTTCTCTTATATTTCTCTCTTCTCTCCAACTTATGATTTCTTTTTATTTTCCATGTATTTCACGCATTTTTCATTTCATTTCTCCTACATTTTATTTTCTATAATTTCCATATAGTATTGAATTATTTGAATATTTGTAGCTTTTTTTTCCTTTCGAAAATTCGAATCACGTCACATTATACAGACATTTACATCAATCATTCAATACTAATATTTTCATTAATAATTACTTCATTCGTGCTCATCTGTGATAAATACGAAGCGTTGGTCCGATCTGTATAGTCATCTGAAATTTTTTAATTGTAACTTTTCATATTTTCCATTCTAGTCAGTAAGTTTTAAGTTCTGTTCAATAATTTCTATGCAGTATCGAATTATTTGAATATTTATTGCTTTGTTTAATTTTAATTTTGTTCTTTAGCTTTTTTTTTAAGTAATTAACGATAGTAATTGAATTTCTACTTATGATTTTTATTATAATTTTAAATTATTTTTTCTTTGTTTTCTTTTCATTGTACAGTATTGTAAATATAACTGCATAATTTTTTTTAATATTCCATTGTGGTAATTTCAATCTTATCTTCTCAACAGAGCATTGCATGGTATATTAATTATTCTTTTTTACTTCTGATTAACAATATTTAATCTTTCTATATTTCGTTTGTAATTATTATATTTGATAATAATTATTATTATGTTATATGTGTATTATTTAAGTAAATTTGTTACTATTAATTGATTTTCTATTTTCGATTTATATAATTTCAAATTATCTATATTCGATTAATGTTTGGGTATATATTTTAGATAGTAATGAATGCATTTTATAAATTGTTCATTTTGGTGCTAAGGAAATGGAAGGGAAAGTGTCAAATTTTGTCGAAAGTTTACATTACCGTAACCAACATACCCATAGAGGCACAATTATACGGGTTGTAAAAAGGCCATTACATTGATACATTGCCGCATTTTTTCCGTTTTAAATAAATAAGAAAAGAAGAAAAAGGGTGGAGGGAAGAGTTTTTAAGAAAAAATTTTATTAGTGAAGGGAGAAAAAGGTGGGACAGGAAGAAATAAGTTTGCATATAAAAGGTAAGACTGTATAACATCACATATCAATGATTAATACCAAAAATTTGTGATTGATTTTGGTAATGAATAAAAGGGCATTTGACATCGTTAAATATGTCACCATGCACTTGACATTGTTTACGTGTATATAACACGAAGTAAATTGGGATTTTATCTTTTTTCCGCCAATTTTTTCAAAAATCTTTTTCAATTTATTCTTGAATTTTTAGGGCAGATTTGGCTATCGACTGACATTGTGTCGATTGTTTCATCGTTTATATTTGCATCGTCGTCCAATCAACCTTTACTTTTTACAAGTAAATAAAAAAAAAAGTTCTCAAAAGATGGCACATGACGGATTCGGAATGCATCGAAATAGTTCTGGTTAGTTGCAGAAATGTTAAATTTAATTTTGTTAGCAATATATAATATGGTAACTAAAGGAGAAAATAATATAAGATGAACAGTTTCATTTCTGGTCGTAGTATGGTTTGCAAATATAGCGTACTAATTATCGAATTTCTTCGTTAATAACATTTGCATGAATTTTTATTATTTTCATTATTTGTGTGGTATAAATTTTGGATATTATCATAATTATACATACGGATAATTCGAGTTATATTCACTGAGAATGATTTCAGTTCCATAATCTTTAAATTACTATAATTTTCAGAACTGTTTCGTAATCAAAGATTTCTTTTTACTTCGGAGTCGGTAAGCGAAGGTCATCCGGATAAAATGTGCGATATGATATCGGATGCTGTTTTGGATGCCCATCTTGCGCAGGATCCGAATGCAAAAGTTGCATGCGGTATCTGAACAATCGAAACCTGATTTTTCTTTTTTAAATAGCTTAGATATCATTTTTTAAAAAATTGCGCATGTTTTTTTTAGCATTTAGCATAAGTGTGCACTAATTCTGGGAGTTAAGCTAGAGCTATTTAGCAGAGAGTAGATTATAAGTTATTTGCCAATCGAGAAATGGATTTCTGATAATTTTTTGAATGATATTTTTGCCTTTGAACTTATTCCTCTTTGATTAATTGTTATTTCAGATCAAACTCCTACCGACTACATACATTAAGTTAATTTCCTCAATACAGCTAAAACTAATGTCCGTTTAAAGTAGTTACTTTCTTACAGAAACGGTAGCCAAAACGGACATGTTGATGCTGTGTGGGGAAATTACATCTAGTGCAAATGTTGATTACTATCAAATCGTTAGGGATACGGTGCAACAGATAGGATTCGACGATTCCTCCAAGGGTCTATTATTAGAAATTTATAGAACTGCTGTTATTTTATCAACAGCAGTATTCAGATTTACTGATTCTCGAAACCACGCTTGCATCAGGGACAGTATGCATCTAGAAAGTCATATCTGAAGAAATGCTTTGATCATATGCTTTAGCTATAGAACTTGTTGTTTTTTATAGGTTTTGATTATAAAACATGTAATGTGATAATTGCATTAGAACAGCAAGCACCTGAAATAGCAGCTGGAGTGCATTTGAATCGGAAAATGGAAGACATTGGTGCCGGTGATCAGGTTGTTTCTTCTTGTTCATTTTCCTTTCAAACAAGTTCGATGTTGAATATTTACCTCTTGAAACCCTTAATTGAAAGGTTATGAAAAATAATACCATTAAAATCACTTTCTGTTATCATCTTCGATCATATGGCAAATTTAAATTGGTTTTTTTTCTTTTATGCCGAAAACCAGTTATAAATAATCGAATATAGTTATTTACTTTCGTTACTAGTTAAAAGAAAAATGGAACATACTAAAAGTTTTTTTCCTGGAGTCAATTTTTGATGTTCTTTACTCACTGCGACAATTTTATTGCTTATTAGTTAATCACAAGGCATTTTCCTTCCTACACTTTTATGTCATTTAAAGAATCCAAACGAAAAATAACTCAGATTTCATCTTCTATTCCTATGGAAAATTTGTTGATCTTTTCCAGGGATTGATGTTCGGTTATGCAACGGATGAAACAGAAGAACGCATGCCATTATCTTTGCTACTAGCCCATAAACTGCTTGCACGACTCCATGAGTTGCGAAGAAATGGTACTCTTGAATGGGCTTTGCCTGACTCAAAGTCACAGGTATTTATGTCTATGTGAAACTTTCCATTTTTTCTTTTTTCGTTATAAACAATGAAGTAGAAAGCAACAGGAAATTAGTGAGAAAAAATCTTTCCTGAACAATGTAACTCAAACTTATATCCACAATCGGATGATCAGTCCATGAAAGATATCATAGAGGTCTTGGAACAGGCGAAACAGGAGTTCATTAGGGATGAATTAGAAGATTAAAAAATATGGATATATAATCTTTATGAAGTTTAACATTTCTGAAATAAATGACTGTTGACAAATTCTGGGTTAATTGATTAGATGCAGATGTTAATTTATACTGAGGTCTGACCAAGATTGGCATATGATCATGTGAGAAAAATCATCCAAATATGATGCATTTCTACCCTTTAGTTGTTATTCCACCAACGAGTTTCTTATTAGGCAGTTTCAGCTATAAGTAAACTTAATTGTTTTTTTTTCTAATTTGTTATTATAATTCAGGTAACAGTAGAATACAAATTTGAATATGGCGCATGTATACCGGTTCGAGTTCATACAATTGTCATATCAGCACAGCACAAGGCTACAACTTCGTTGGAAAAAATTCGAACTGATCTAATGAAGAATGTAATAAGTGTAAGCCTTTTTTGCTATGTTGCCATCACTATATGAAGGTGTATGTATGTATGTATGTATGTATGTATGTATGTATGTATGTATGCATGCATGTATGTATGTATGTAATGTACGTATGTATGTATGTGTGTATATATGTGTGTATGTATGTATGTATGCATTTATGTATGTATGTATATATGTCTATGTGTGTGCATGTGTGTGTGTATGTGTGTGTGTGTGTGTGTTTACATGTTTTATTTGAGATTATCCGAATTTAAAGACTAACTGAATTCCTATGTAGTCATAGAGCGATTGGTAAGTTTAGCTTTTTGTAATAGAATTTGTTGATATTGTTACATTAGCATTATCTTTTGAATTATAAGCTGTAAATCCTCTCTGATGTATTTTGTTTATTTTCAATAATTTTTCTTGTTTACCTTACAGTTTCCTTATTAAACAAAATTTAAATAGAATGAATCTCTGTTTAAATTTTTAGGAAATAGTTCCACAGCATTTCATGGATGCGGCTACGAAGTTTTATTTGAATCCATGCGGCAACTTTACGGTCGGTGGTCCACAAAGTGATGCTGGCCTAACTGGTCGTAAAATAATTGTCGATACATATGGTGGTTGGGGTGCTCATGGTGGTGGTGCATTTTCTGGTAAAGATCCGACCAAGGTACAATATACTGATTTTTACATTAATTTTCGAATTATAAATAACTTTTCGAAGGCCTGATGTGTATAAGTTGTTTTGATGCTTTTTTAATAATTTAAATTTATTTTTAATATTTGCACTTTTTATGCCAAATGTTTAGGTAGATCGTTCGGCAGCCTATGGCGCCCGATGGGTTGCCAAATCGCTTGTGGATGCTGGTATTTGTAAACGATGCTTGATTCAGGTATTGTTTATTCATCGTTCCAATGGGGATGAAGAAACTGTAGTGGATATTCACTTCTTTGTTTAATTTAATGATGATAAGCGTCATCTATTTTTAAAAGACTAGATTATTTTTTTCAAACGATCTTAAATCCAAAATTCTGCTATTGTCGTTTTTGTGTAGCAAATAGCAAAATGCCAACAGTTTCTGTAGGTATCGTATGCCATTGGTATCGCAGAGCCACTCTCAATAACAGTTGTTGACTATGGAACGAGTAATTTAACAGAAGATGAATTGTTAACAATTGTGAACGACAATTTTGATCTTCGGCCGGGCATCATCATTCGGTATCTCAAACGTTCACTTTAATGGACGAATTTAATGGGGCTATAAAAGGGAACGGACTCTGTTTGATGTTTAAAATTAGATTTATGATTTGAGCGCTGTGAATAGGAAAAGGATGGTTTTGTTACTCAATATTCAATATTATTTATGCTGCATTTAATCATATCATAATTTGGAAGTAAGCTATCACACTTTAAGCAGAGGGAAATTACTCTAAACTTTAACAATTGTATAAAGCCGAGGTTGGTTAATTGAGCTACGGAATGGAATTAGGTTGTTATTGATAACATCTATAATATTTGGATAATGTTGTTTTATGCGAATCAAATAATTCAGTGATAGTTATAAATCCAAAAATTTGGTACTTCGGTAAAAAACTTCAGTTTGTCAGAAGCATATTTTAGTGAGCTGGGCTTATTAAAGCCGATCTATAAGGAAACAGCACGTAATGGACACTTTGGAAAATCGATGTTTGCTTGGGAAAAATCGAAGAAGCTGAAGATACGACCGGAATTCATGAATAAAATAAAAAGTTCAGAATTATCGAATGGAGATATGACTCGTATTGGCTTTAACGTTGCTTAATATTACCTTTTCTACATATCAAATAATTCAGAAGCTTTGTCTCATCACCTTCTCTTTTTCAGGAATTTTTTGTTTTCTCTACTTGAATGAGTACAAAACACAATGTAATATTGCGTCTTCTTCCTTTTATTTCTCTAATGTCTAAATTAAGCCTCACAATGCCACTTAGAACGCTTCCTCAACAAATTACATGAAAGTTATGTACGGCATGTTTTAAGACACTATTTTGAAACTATTTGGTTAATGAATTGAATCTGACTCTTACTGTGACTCGACAGGAGGTTCTCCTTAACAGATATGCTTTCGAATTTCTGACAAATTTAGTCCCTTTTGTTACCGAGAACAAAAATGTATATATCCGTTGCCTGTTTCCATTAATTCATTTAAAACTAACATATTAACATATTAACTTAAGCGTCAGCATTCCTGAAAACCCAAAACATTTTTACCGTAAAATATTGAGGAAGTTTTGGTACTCGAGTCATAGCACCAGAAAAACCGTTAATATGAAGAAATTAGCTTCGTTCATAACTCACACTTTAATTTTGTGCAAAAATCAGAAAGTTACCATCTATTGTTATTGGCGTCAATGTCAGTATGTGGTGTTGTTTGTTATCAAACATAGTCATGAAGTGCTGAAGTTCAACAGTACTGCCCTGTTAAACTTTGATAAATCTTTTCTTTTATTGGTGCAGAAATAAATATTTCTAATTCATCAAACTGCTAATCAGTAGTGCATCATGTTATACTGCAATTAATTGCTCCATTTTCGCAGAAGGAAATTAAATTTGAAATTTAGTCTAGCCATATTCAAATATGTTTGTGAGATTCTGATTTGATCGTTTTAACATTTACCATTTACGTTTGAACCATGAGAACTGCAAGTTTAACGCTAATGATGACTCAGGCAATGATAATGATAAGGGAACGTTCATGAGACGAATCAGTGGCTTTAAGTGATTAATGAAGAATGGATATAGTACGCCATTGGTGATTACGTGTGCGATTTCATTATCAAGTGAGATAAAGTAATTTGATATTTCGATCGAATGCTGCAGGAGAGCGGAAGCATTACATCATTATAAGTACAAAAAATACAAGAGGAAAAAATCAAATACTTAACAAGAACTTGCAAATCTTCACCAACTACTTAGCTGCTGCTTTCTTTGCTTTCTTCTGTAGTGGAGCACAATCAAGCTTACCACGTATTATTTCTGCTCGCACACTTTGAAGATCACGCCGACGTCCACCACGTACCATCACCTGTAATTTTTTCCAAACTTTTTTTCAATGAGAAGAATTGCAAGTCAAATTTCAACTTTTCTTGGAACTTCGCATATTTTTGTTCGAAGTATTCTAATGAATTTCATGCAACGAAATATTTCAAGACAGGATGAAATTTAAAATCTCCTTGGATAAAAACAATACTAATAATATATAAGCATTTCCATTTCTTAGACTTATTCCCTTCTCAATTTTTCTTACTTTCCCTTCTTAAACTACAAATTTGCATATTCCTTCAATTCTCTCATTTTTCTCCGCTCAATAAAGTAGAATTCGTAGAGCAAAATATACTTCCGATTATATATTTCGTCACACTGTGATATCAATAAGAATTGATCTTTGAAACGCAATATATATATATATATATATATATAAAGACAGCGTTCACTAATTGCAAAATTAACTTTCTAAAAGCGAAAAAAAAGAACAGACCTGCGAATGCTCTTGTAAATTATGGCCAACACCTGGAATATAAGCACATACTTCCTTGCCATTACTTAAACGCACCAAAGCACACTTACGATTTCCCGAATTTGGTTTCTTCGGATGCCTTATCAAAGCTACAAACAATTGTTTGATAAATTTCCTTAATTTGGTTCTTCCAAATACTTCAATAAAATTATAAATAATCACAAATTATATTAACAAACAATTAGAAAGAATTTATGTGTATACAAACATAAATAAATAGCACAAATATACGAAATATCCATTCCCAGAGTGAAATTATTCATTCCATAATTGATGAAAAATGTACTTTTTAAAACAATCCCTTTGAAATGATTGAAACCACGAATCGCCGTATGATCCCTGCTACGGCTACGACGTTTAGGTGGTCCATCCATCCTGTGCATACGCTAATAAAAAAAATAACTTTTTCGTTATCGACCCTCTACCTACCAATGTAAAACCATGAATTCCAAATAAATAGATTTTAAAAGATACCCAATGGTGAGCTATTAGTTTACTTTTGGAAATGACATTTATATGTTTTTCAGAAGCTTAAGTCATTGAAATAATCTGAAAAGTATTTGATTAATACTTAACGTATAAAAGCTAAAATATAAATCCTTCAAAAGCTAGCCGATAATTATGAAGTGAAAATTAATTGGCAATTATACAGAAATATTGTTTAGAAAAAAAAAGAAAAAAGACTTAAACAATACGTAATTTACATATCTTACAACATCAATGTGATAATTTACATAATAATTTAATTTACATATCTTACAACACCAATGTATTACCTGCAAAATTTCTTCACGACCATAACATTGTGTCGTATGGACGTTGAATTTATGCATAATACTGGTATCAATAGTTAACTTGCTAATACAAGGCAGAAACTGACAGGAAGTGTAACTTCGCTGTGACCAAATCAACAATTTGTTTAGCCACATGATGATTACTTATGCAGGACAAGGTAAACACGGTTACTTATATCAAAATCACATTGATTTGATTTAGTAATTATTGATTTCACTCCTGAAATAAACTGACGAATCATCCGAAATTATAAATTTACTACACTACATTCTCAATCGCATACTATTGTATTATTTTCATAAATTAAAGCATCAATTAAAATGTCAACAAAAGTATCGTATAGTGGTAAATGCCAATATTATTGTCAACGATTATTATTAGGAATGCAAAAACTTAACTTGAAATGAAATTCCCAAAAAGCGTTGCAATCATTTCAATATTTTAGGGAAAGCAAGTAATAATTATGATACGATGCAAACATTTTAAATAAATATTTGAGATATTTCGATAAATATGAAACATGCCAAAATGAGTGTGGAAGATTGCATCAAAACAAAAAATATAAAGTATAATTTAATTGCTTTCATAAATCAAAGTACAATTAATTTTAATGCATATTAATTCGTTAAAAAAAATATCCCTCCATCAATGCAAGACGTTTAAAACAAAAAGACAAAGAAATTTATGTACAGAGGAAGATCCATTTTATTAAAATACACATGCAAATCTAAAATGACATGAATAGAGAAATCAAAAATGATATTAATATTTATTCAGGTAGCAGTATTTCATCTTTTAAAGGTACATGAATATATGAGGCAATTTGAATAACGCAACTATACAATAATAAAAGCAATAATGATAATGATGATGATAATGACAGTGATAGCGACAATGACAACACAATGATGATCATGGTGATGATAATGATAACGATAACAATAATAATAATAATATCAAAAATATCGCCCAATAATTACTAATGACCTAATATTACCTATAAACATTTAAATCGTTGAGAATATAATAGATGAATATTTGTATTCTTAAAATTATTGTCAACAGATCCTTCGTGAATTCATTTCTGTTATTTTAAATTTACGTCAGAACATCTCATCTAGTAAGATCTAACTGATAAAAGCACTAACTCATATGCTGACAATCTTTTTTACAAAAGTTATAGATAATTTTTAGCATCTTGAGAAATAGTAATAAAACAATCAATCAATTAAAAATATAATGAGCAACTGCCAAAAAACTGTGCATAAAATAAAGAAGATGAAATGATAATTGTAAAAAACATTATAAGAATTTTTTTCCTCAAACGATAAACTAAGAATACAGAAAAATATGTCGAATCATTATGCTAAAGATCAAATATCTATAAATTAAGCTATAGGGTGGCGGAAAAGCGAAGATAATAGATCAGTATATTTCAGTTCGTCTAAACTTTCCGTGTAACAAAGATAATGTCAAAAAATATCAGATAATGTCAAAAATGTCAGATTCAAAATTATAGCTAATGCAACGGTTGAATGACCAGGAAAAGAGGGGGGAAAGGTACAGAGATAAATAAATAAATAAATGGAACAAATAAATGTAAACAGTTAACTGTTGATCTAATGTTTCAATGAGACAGTTTTCCTAATTAGTAAAGTGTTAGTCATGTAAAAATATTACAAATAATAAGGCTACAAAAATGTATTACAAAAACTAAGCTATGAAGCTACAATCCCTAAAACATAAAATGATTTTAAATCCTAAACATACCAATAAAGTTAGTCGAGGCTTGAAGAGTTACTGTATCCATCAGCAATAGATGACTGATATGATAAACATAAAGATAAAACAAAAAGAACTTGTGAATACAAGGATAAATTCAAAAAGAAAAAGTACACCAATTTATCATCGATTTCTTATATTACAAAAAATATGGTTTCTCAAGATTTGTCAATGATCCATTGTAACTAAGTTAGTAAGGCCAACAAACCTTTCCTCACAATAAAAAATTGACGGTTGTTATGAAAAATTTCACTTACCAATTTACTAAATAAACTACTGTCTTTTATATATGAGATATTCCTATCGAAAGTACTGCCTCAAGTCCATTCTTGTAATTGTGTTATTAATGCTGTTAAAACTTTTTCCGATAACAAAGAATTGATGAAATGTTTTTGAAATGTGTTGATACTTGATGATGAAGCAGTAAAATTGGCGCGATACATCGGGTCATCTGATGAATCCACGATTTTCAAAGGTCCTTTTTCCTGTTCAGCGCGGAATTCAGTGAACAAAACTATGGGTAAAACTGTTATTTTTTTTTTCTGTTTTTCTACAAAATCCATCAAACGATGAAAACTTTCATCATTTGGTTTCTGAAATAACCAAACTTACATTATAAAACTCCTGAATAATAACACGTCAGTTAACAGTAATGTAATATGACACTGTCGATTACAGTTAAGTGAACGTAGCACAATTTCCGTGTTTTAATACTGTTAACATTGCCAAGCTAAATAGAGAGAAAGAGAAGAGTTGCTAAGATAAGTAAAATAGAGTACTTATTTCCAAGCTTCTTCAACTTACTGATACTTATTAAAAGGAATATATTACCTTATTTTTCATTTCCTTCAATAATTTCTCGAAATCACACAAGGAATCGTCATAGCATCCCAGTGATTCTGATAAACAAATTTGTTTCGAAGTTATTAAACCGGATCGAATAAGAATGGCCACCTAAACATCAAATAAAGTATAATTAAAACAAAAGTCCATCGCACAATTGCAACTCGAAACTTCAAAAACTTAAATTCCAAGTAAACATTGAAAAAAGGAAGCAAAATTACCATGGTAGATACAGCGGCTTCTTGTAAACGAGGAATTCGGTCATAATCAACAAGCGGTATCCATGTATTTACCGAGACACTGATATTATTCAAATCTTTTTCATTTTCATTAACACTGACACACTGAACGCAATGCCACCATCCAGGCGGCACAAATATCACATCACCCCTTCTCAATGTAACCATTCTTATCTTTTTGCCTTGCAATGAACTATCAGCACCAATTACGTCCAAACTACTGAAACGATACTAATATTCCAGCCTACGGATACAACACTATAGTTTTTATTGATTGAGAATTCAGTTCCTAAAATGAAATTTCGGACTTACTTATTTCGCATATGTGATTCAGAATGAAAACTTCGTGTATTTTAGCAAAGAGAAAATAAGAACAAAGTTTGGGGAAAAGAATCCCAAACCTGAAAACAGTGGATTCCTCATATGGGATTCGAACCGGTTTCATGTTTTCATTTGGCTCAAACAGAATCCATCGTTTTGATCCGGAAAGTTGAGCATGCACGTTATAACCATATGAATCATAATGACACGGCGTGTGAGCACCTGGTGTCCCTGAAATACAAATATTCCTATCTTGTTCATATCTGAACCCAGATCTATGGGATGAGAAATATTAAATTAATAAACTTATAATAACTTTAATCAACTGATTAAATTCTAACTCAAAATCATCGCTGATTCAATCATTTATTGAACTTCTGTAATTGTTCCACATCCGGAAACAATATGATGAACTTGTAACCGGTGTAATTCATTCAAATCAACTAAATACAAAAACAAGATACCAATCCAAATGGTTGAATCAGCAGGATCAGCATCTAACCCAAGGTGTCGCCAATTGATATCGCTGATATTTTCCGGATCCATAATATCGAAAACATAATTATAATCGAAATATCCCCAATGATCTGCTCTATCTACTATCTTGTGATCATCTGTCATCAATGTTGCTTCACCATTAAACCATTTAAAGAATTGTTCCAGACTGGAGAGGTATGCCATTTTTGATTCATTTTCGAATATAATCTGCATTAATATAATTACCCTATTCATCGTTCCTTTAATACTTCTCACTTTTTTCCCGCTGAATTAAATTTCCTGATACAAAATTAGATCAAAACAACACGAAATGTATGTGATATATTGTTTCATTTCAGTTATCATTTTAACTTTACTAACTTATTTAATCAACAAATTTTACTTTACAAAAATTCCAAAAATAATTCCATTTCCTAGCATTAAACATGGTGCTCTAAACTTGCTACTACTGAAATCAGCAAGTATATCTCCATTTTAAATGGTGTGAATTTAGTTAATTTCATCATTACCACACTTATTTTGTAAAAATAAAACAAGCTAAAACCAACTTTTCCTCTTAAATGTTCTTTCGGACCTAATCTTATCCTTAAAAATTCGTCTCTTTCCGCAGGTTTTACAATTTCCGCCAATCGTTGATATGTCCATGCAGTAGCTTTCCAATCATTAATACATCCAGACATTACGAACGGTTCTAAGTATGCAATTTTTGAACGCACATCGGTATATGATTCCATTAGTAATCTAAAATTTTACATCGACGAATTTTTTCTTCTTTTCAAAGTACATGAAGCAGTTATAACAACGTCATAATATCATATATTTTACTGTTCAATCAAGCATATTAAAAATATGACGACATAATAAACTTCCTG